TACACATTTGTCTCCAGAATGGATCACCAAAACTACTGTGATAAATCTTAACTTCAGGGTGGCTCAAAGCCGAAATTCTCAGCAGGATCTTAGATCAAAAAAATATTGACTCAATGGTTGTCAGGAGAGTTTTGAACCTTAAACCTCACATAAATCACACCGGTATTATTATGGCTTAATCAAAGTCAAACAACCAGGCATTCTGAAGGTTAAGGATAGAATTTTTCTAGTCTAACTGTAAGTTAAGTCTATCCAACACACAATCAAATAATGAAAATAACAAAGGACAATGTTTAAAATATCTATTGTCCAATATGATTCCATGTCCATTTTTCTGAAACATAGACCCAAGAAAAATGAAGAATCTTGTTTTGATATACTAATAAAAATTGCATACTATACTTTCAAGTGGAAATTTTATATATATGAGTAGTCTTAAAAAATGGAAAATGTACATTCTGAAAAAAAACTATGCATGGACTTCAAGTTTTTTGCACTAAAGCAAACTCATATTTTAATTCTACTTTTCCATGAACTTTAAAAAAAAATCCCTTAGATGTGATTGTGAGTTTAGGCAGAAATCAAAACATTGACATTTTTTTTTTTGAGAAGTTTTTGCTATAGGGCACGTCTGCTCGCCAGACAGACAGACAGAGAGACAGAAAGCGAGAAATCACCCCCCCCAGGGGGGGATGGCCACACCGCAATCCCTTTTCCTCCATTCTCCTCTCGGGATATTGGGCATACTCGCACATGCGCCCAGCTTGAGTTTAAGCCACCTGGTCCAGGACTACGAACTGTGGTTGACTGCATGGGAGTCCGGCGACAGAGCCATTACGCTAACTGCTGGTCCCAAAACATTGACTTTTAATGCTAAAGTTAAAACATTTGGGAGTTGGTAGTGTAGAGTAGTATTAAAAGCTATTGGGCTGGGTAAGATAATCAAAGGTATGAGTGGAGAAATCTGAGCCTGGGTCCTGGGTCTCCAACATTTAGAGTCTGGCAAGTTGTGGAAGATCCAGCAAAAGAGGCTTAAAAGGAATTGCTGGTGACATAGAAAGAAAATAAAAGTTTTTAACTTTGTGTTTTTTGTTTTGTTTTGTTTTGTTTTGCTGGAAGACAAGAGAAAAGAGTTTGAATAGGAAATAATCAACAATATTAAGTAGTATTAAAAGATTAAGAGGAAGAGTGAGAATGAGAGTTGAGCATTGGAGTTGGCAATGTAAAACTCATGGGTGACCTTAACAAATGTGGTTTTTGAGGAGTGTCTGCATCAATATCCTATTTGGGTTGAGTTTGAGAGTAAAAATGGAAGAAAAAGAAATAGAGACCATACTGATCTAGAAAAGAAATGTGGCAGGGAAGATGTAGGGTTAAGAAAAACTTCATCTTAATCTGGGAGATGTAAAAGTTACTGTGTCTATAGAAATGATCCAATAAAGAAGATAAATTTAATAATATAATGAGAGGACAGTTATAGAAACAAAGTCCTTAAAAAGGTGAATTTTATCACAAGTAGATAGGGCCTCAGCATAGGTGGGAGGTTCGGCTTCAAATCGGCCCACAAACATTGATCTATTGTAACAGAAGGGAAGATAGATGACAGTAGTACCTAACATCTAATGCGCATTTGTGTTACAACAGCTAAGACATCACTAGGTGGTAGAAATTTTTCAGTTCCATGATAGTCTTATGGGACCATCATCACATGAAGGGTTTTCAAAAAGTTCATTGACAATATATTTTATGAAAAAAATACACATAGGTTTCAAAAATTTGTTTGTACCAAAATAAACTTAGTTCATTTTGCCATGAACTTTCTGAAGTCACCCCTTATATGTGGTCCATCACTAACTAAAAGGTTATTCAGCAGACAACTATGTACTGTTCGGCATTTTAATTTTAATGCATTGCGATTTATGTTACTGGTTTCCTTTTTCAGTTCTGACCTCTAACCCTGTGCTTTTGTAAACTTTTCAACATGCTATTAACATCATTATTAAAGACAAAAGAAGTAACCTTACTTTTACCTTGTCCCATCACACATAGGATTCTATATGGATAGAGAGATTCTACATTTTTTACTTAAGATTGAAGTAGTACTGCACCCCATGCAGAATCAACCTTTGGTAGGAAACTCATTTATAATAACTCTTCTGCTGCACCTGCTCCTTAGCTCCACCAGGGTCTTTCAGTACGCAGCCTTGAGGTGGGCCACTCATTCTGTCATTTTCCTTCTTATTGACCTAGGACACTTCAGCCTTGAGAAATATCTTCATCTCTTTCTTTCTTTCTTTTTTTTTTTTTTTTTGAGAGACTTTTGCTAAAGGGGGTGTGCGCTCGCCAGACAGACAGAGAGACAGACAGAGAGAGACAGAGAGACAAAAAGCAGGAAATCACCCCCCAGGGGGGATGGCCACACCGCAATCCCTTCTTCTCCATTCTCCTCTCGGGATCTTGGGCACGCACGCACACGCACCCGGCGTGAGTTTAAGCCACCAGATCCGGGACTTGAAACGCGGTCGACTACATGGGAGTCCAGCGACATAGCCATTATGCTAACTGCTGGTCCCTCTTCATCTCTTTCTGATCCCTTAGTCTCACAAACTATTTTACTCTCTCAACCACTCACTCTCCTCCAGATCCCCTTCCACAGTTTTCCCCCATCATCTTCCTCTGTCTTCAGGATTTTGATTATTACACATTCAGTTCTATCTGATGTCCCCTTGAAAGAAGGGGGTGACAGATTGTGATTCATACTCATGAGGTTGAGAAGAAATGAAATAAGTTCATAAATAACTTACTTTTGAATTAACTTGAAATAACTTGGAGTGAGTTCAAGACAGGGAAACTATTAGTTATGCAATACATCACTTCCTATTCCTCTTATAATAATATACTTTTGTCACTGAATTGTATCATGAAGAGATCTCTTTTGAATCCCAATTAGGTGTCCCTTACGTAAGGGAAAGGATGACAATATGTTCATTTCTTACTAGGACAACTGCCATAGCCTTCTAACCTGTGTCCCTGCTTTCCATTGCGTACCCTCCACTCTATGCCTCAGCCCACTTCCTTCATCAGATCTAAAGTAATCCTTTCCAGTGTGTGTTACTTCCTCTCACTCCCTCCTCTGCTCAGAAAAACACCAAAGCCTCTTATTGCAGTTAAAATAAAATCCAAGGTCTTTGCTATGGCTTCGAAAGCCGTACTTGACTTGGCCCCCAGCTAAGTCTTTCATCTACTCCCCGCCATCTCACTCCAGGCTTCAGACACACTGGCCTTCTTTCTTCCCCACACACCCACCTCACTTACTTCTATCTCAAGGCCTTACACTTGTCACCTTTGACTTTCTCATCTCACAGACATTTTCTATGTTTTGCCTTTTCATTGTTCAGATTCAGCTGTGAAAACACCCCCTGAGTGAGCTTATTCAGACATCTACAGTACTCTTCTATAGAGCCACTCTATATGTTCCACCCTATATATGTCCACTATTTTTTATTATACTACATTTTATTTCCTGTACAACATTTATTGTAATCTAAAAGTATATTATTTTTATGTTTACTACCTATCTTCTTCCATTAAATGTAACATTCTTGAAGGAAGATAATTTGTCTATACCTGATAGCTCCTGAACAGACAGGTGTTCAATAAATATTTGATGAGAAAAGGGGAAAGATGGGGACCAGCAATTAGCATAATGGCTATGTTGCTGAACTCCCATGTAGTTGACTGCGGTTCGAGTCCCAGACACGGTGGCTTAGACTCACGCGAGGCACGAGTGTGTGCATGCCCAAGATCCTGAGAGGAGAATGGAGGAGAAGGGATTGCAGCATGGCCATCCCCCCTGGGGGGTGATTTCTTGCTTTCTGTCTCTCTGTCTCTCTCTGTCTTTCTGGCGCACACACATGCCCTATAGCAAAAAAAGAAAAGGGGAAAGATGAACATCTTCTCACACCTAGTTATGATGTCATTATTCAGGTCATTCGAGTCGCACTTTAAAATAAAGAAAGAATAAAAGAATATCACCACAAGCAACTAAAGAAAGTACTATTCTTTTATTTTAGCTGTCTTTAAAATTGGGGGCTCCTTTTTTTATTTTAGGAAATTGCACAACTTATTTGTAGCGATTACAAAGTCAGTTTCCAAATGATTGCACATTCACTGTAAGGACTGCTTCCAAAGTAGGTGCCACACGGTCCCCTGCCCTGAAGGAGTACATTATATTTGCTGCAAAATACAAAAGGCAACAAATGACAAAAGAAAAACTTGAAGGTAATGTCATATGCAAATTTCATGCAAAATATTAATTGCAACTTTAACATCATTCATTAATGCCTGACAACATTTGAATCTAAACTCAATGTGGATATATTTTTGTGAGAGTAATTCATCGGTTTATTAGAGATGATGAAAAGTGACCTTAAGCAAACAAATCCTCTTTTCTGGCCTATAGTTTGTTATCTATGAATTAAAACCCTTGGTCTAGTTGAATCTCTGCTATCTCTTTTCTAACTTGAGATTGTATGAGTTTATGAGGTATGCAAACACCTCACATATAAATAAAAAAAAGAATGTACATTATTTGTCTCACATTCTAGTTTAATAAAATGTGATTCTGATTTTTAGGATGAAAAATAATTTATTTGCTAGATCTACCCTATATGTTCTTGTGCTAAGAAAATATGTATTTTTTTTAATTTTGAAAAACAAATTAAGGTTAACTTTGAATATAATAGTGAGAATGATCAGAACAATGCTACAAAAAATAGTATTTTGGCCTTCTTTGTTTTCTTTTTTTTCTTATTTTCTGTGTTAGTGAAAGATATAAATAATGAATGGACAGGGTTCTAGATATAATAAGGCATAGATAATGATATTTTATAGAGAGAAAATTATTGGTTTACCAATAATTAAAAGGAAAAAAGTCCTGAAACAGTAGATTAGAATACCTTGCAGTTGTCTTTATGTTTCATCAAATAGTTACTTTTCTTTCAGAGTCCAGTCTTAGATGTAATCCAATTGCGATAAGAAGTCACCCGTGTATAGACACCTGGCTTATTCTTTTTAGCACATCCGTCACCCCAGCTTACTATTCCAATAATGTGCCAGATATTTCTGGAGTCAGGATAAACTAGTGGTCCCCCAGAATCATTCTAGAAGAAGAGGGAAATAATTAATTTTGTTAAACTATTATAGGTTAATAGAAAAACTTACCATTCATAGAATGTGCTCCCCATCCTGTAACTACAGCACTGTCATTTTCTGAGCAATTCATATTGGCTTCAGGAAGACAAATCCTATGATTCTGTCTTGTTGAATAATTCTTTTACTTCTCCCCTGGAGTCACCTCCCTTAGACATTAAAGCAATCCACCTTCTTTGGGCTAAGAACTCTGGAACCCTTGAGTTTCTTTTAAATGAGAATATAACACCTACAGCTGCCAAATGTTGGATTGGGCAGACCAGAATTTGACTTCGAAAGGAGTCCAGACCTGAGCATGGGGAAGGTGACTTAGCGTCTGTGCACACTGCACTGAGCTTAAGTATCATGATGAAGCATTTGAGGAATGAGAGACATGAACACATGTTCAACCCCCTGCTGCAACTCCAATGGACAGGAGGCAGCATTCTAGCTCTGCAGGTTACCCAGAGAATAGGACCAAATTTATCTTATAAACTTGATAGTACTGTTCTTTGTATGGATTTCTGGACTGAAAACTCCATGAGGGCAGAGAATGGAGTGATTACTGCATCTCTAATATCTAGAGATACATAAATGATACATAATGGAATTAAGAAATGTTAAAATGCATTGAGATGAGAAGCTACTATGTGGAAATTATACACACACACACCCCCCAAAAAATCTTATGTTGACTAAAAAACCTTCCATTTAATTAGCTCTTTGGAGAAAATGATTTGGTAACATAGCTGGACGTACCTGGCAGGCATCAGCATCTCCAGACATAAATCCAGCACATAGCATTGTATCGGACACCAAGCCAGATAGTGCATAGGGGGCATTGCAATTTTTGTTGTCAATAATCTTCAAGAAGGCTTGTTGAAGTACCAATGGAAAGGGACCTAAAGGCAATAAATACTGCATATTATAGGGATCTTGGCCTTGTTTGTTGGGACAAAGCAGATTCTTTTGGTTACAAAGAGCCAGACTGGACACAAGCTATATATTAGCCTCTTTCAAATGCTTGTTAGAGTTGGCTACCTCACACATCTTTCCAATTTTTCTGATTCCCACTCCCAGAGACATTATAGAAAGTGGAGATGATAGGATGCCATGCCTTTCATTCTGCTGCTTGGTTTTCTTTTCATTATATTACTGACTGACTAATTGCAGGAGGGACTGATTGGTTGGTTATAACTAGTCCTGTAAAACTATTATAGTTGTGTAGAAAAACTTACCACCCATAGAAAGTGCTCCCCATCCTGTAACCACAACACTGTCATTTTCTGAGAGCTTCATTTCGGCTTCAGGAAGACAAATCCTACGAATGTACTTTGTAAAAGAGACTTCTTCAGCAAGCTGTACGAGGGCAATATCATCATGAACCCCAGGGCTGCTATAATTTTCATGTAAAATAATGTTTTGGACTTTGCGTTTTAAACGTGGTTTATTTATTATAGTTCCGAAGTTGACAGTCCAATCTTGTGAACTATTTCTCCTGGAGGACACAATGTAATTACAATATTCTCAGTTTCTGAGTCATGACAGTATTTTTAGTGATCATTATTTCATAGCCGTAAAGCATGAGGATTCTAAACATTACAAAACACTTAAATTCTTGTTTTTCAAAATGTCTTTGGCATGGAGATGTTAGAAATACTGTAGTCATATATAAAAAATAGCTTAAAGGATTGTTAGACCTGCCAGCTTTCTGAAGATCTTCCCAAGTAGTATCACAAATATTCTCCTGCTAATTCAGTTTCATCTAGTTTCTGTGTATTTGATTTGGGCAGGGATTATATAAACATCCTTAATTCCATAAGTGGATGGGGTCCAGAATTAACCTTATTGCCATATATCTTAGGTTCCAAGAGCCTGGAACAGGATCTGAGCATCTGTCTATATAAAAAAAAAAAATGTAACTTGTTCTCACCCAGTCACCTTCTTACAAATACTAGACAATGCATCTTGGCTTCTATTTAGACTTTTCTCATCAACTTCTTCAGTTCCCCACTGAGAATCTTTCTCAAGTTAGGACCCAACATCCTATTTAACGGCAGGTGCCATTTTTTTTTAAAAGGTTTCAAGACTGTCATGTAAGGGTAGACTGTCATGCTACACTTTAAGCTATCTATCTTTCATGACTATACACTCAATGACTTCCTAAAACTTCATTCTCTGTCTCAGCTTGGACTCTACCTCCAGAGATGTACATTTAAAAGGCCTAGTATGTTGCTTAAGGATCTGTACTTCTGACAAATACTCCTACAGTCATGGCCCTTGCACTACATTTTGAAAATTGCAGGCTAGCTCTGTAGCACAGTGATTAAGTGCTATGCATTGGGAGCCGGATCCCACATGACTGACCATAGCTCAAATCCCGGCCCCAAAGTCTTGCAAAACGCATGGAGCATGTATGTACACACATACTCAAAATGTTGAGAGGATGGAGAAATGGAGAAAAAAAGGTTGCAGCATGACTGTGTCTTACTGGAGGTCCTTCTCTCTCTCTTCTCCATGCACACATGTGTGCACATGTACACATGTGTGAATGAGCATATCCTCTAGCAATAAAAAGAATGAAATGAAAATTATTTTAGGAAGGTAAATCTTACAAATGTACTTTGTGAAATAAACGTTTTAGTAAGTTTCTTGTCAATTATAGATGTTCAAAATTAATAAAACTAATTTTTCTAAGTGTATTTTCCAATGTTTTCTTTTACAAAATCTTCTCTACTTCAAATTGCTCTTTTTGTTTATTATCCACAGAATACAATTTGTGTTGTTCTATCTCCATACATTTAAAGGATGTTTTCTCAACCTGAAATGCATATTGTTATTTCCCATCTATCAACCCTTCCTAATCAAATATTCCTTCTTTTGGGTCCAGATCAAGTCTTACGTCCACTGGATATGTTCTCTTTCTTCCTCAAATTTCCATTGTACTTACTATCTGTGTCATACACATAATGTTTACTACACTATACTGCCTTATACTTTTAATACATGACATTTAAATTTCCTCAGCCCCAAATGGCCAGACAAGTACCTTGTAACTGGAATAAGGTATACCTGATGCACATTCAATATCCATTACTTAAGACCAGCATGATCTCGGCCAAGTTACATAACCTTTCCTGAACCTTAATGTCCTCATTTTTAAACAGGTTAAATTATACCTTCCATACAGGATTACTGTTGTGAATAAGTAAAACAATGTGAGTAAAGCACTAATGTCAGCCCAAGTAGCTATTTGAAAAATGTTAGTTATTTCCATTTACTTTCTGCTCAATTCCCAAATTTGAGTGCTTTCCCTGCCCTTTAAATATGAGGTAATCGGTAGATTTTTCCTGTTTGCGGTAAACTTTTACATATTTAGGTTATCCGCTACAGACTATCCGAAATAAGCTTGTACCCAGATCTTACTCTAGCCAAACTTTCAAACTTACTTATTAAAACAGTGAGCAGCAGATAATAGCCATCTCTTGCTGATCAGAGTGGCTCCACAACTGTGTTGGCCTCTCCACTGCATGCTGGCCTGCCATGGCCATGCCCCCTCCAGGGCATTTTTTCCATTCACAATTTTATTGCCAGCTATGACACTGTTGACCAATTGTCTCCCACAACCTGGAGAAAGAATTTATTTACACAAGAGCAAATATCTTGATTGGTTATGCTTTATAAGAAAATATCTTTAAACATTACTTGAAATGACTTAGTGACTGTCCAGTGTCTCCTAATTCATGCTGTTTCTTTCCTGCAATATACTCATGATGGTTCTCCACCCTGTCTTGATTTGGCTGACTCAACTTACCCTCTTTTCCGGTTTCAAGCTTCTTTCAACTACTTCTTTTATTGTATCTATTTGTTATAATTCTTGTCTTTACATTAGAAGATGGAGTCTTTGCTTCATTAATGTTTGTTTGCATCTTGCATAGCATATGCAGTGCTGTTTGTAAGGTGCTATATAAATAACAGATACTACCCACAGATCCACAAAGTAAATGAATGCATGGAGCTAGTCCCATAGTGCAGTGGTTAAATGCTGTGCATTGGGAGCCAAATCCCACAGAGCTAGTTATCATTCAAATCCAACCCCTGCAGTTTGAAAAACATACCAGCTGCATGTGTGTGTGTGTTCCTAAAATTCTGATGGGATGAATAAACAGAGAAAAATAATTTCAGCATGACCACACACCATGGGGGAATGCTTTCTCTCTCTCTCTCTCTCTCTTTCTCTCTCTCTCTCTCCTCTCTCTCTATCAGGTGCATGCACCCTCCAGCAATTTAAAAATAAAAGTAAATGAATGAATGACACTTTAAATAGACTATTTTAAAGATACAGGACTGATTTCATCTCATAATAAATATATTTAATATAGCTTAGTATTCTGTTGTGTTCTATCTTAAGTTGTTCCTCATGTTTTTCTGCAGTCTTTCTTATTTTGACTTAGACATATTCTTCATTCATGATTTCATTCTTTAAAAGTAATTTTCATTTCACCTTTTTGTACTGCTCCTTACAAATGTAAAAATTCATAGACCAACATTTTTTAAAAGAGAAATTATAGTAATTTTGAGAGTATTATTTTCTTCAAAAATCCTTTTTACAAGATTATAAAGAAAACACTTATGAATGTATTGCATTTATAATAAAAGTCTTTTAACTTACAGCTGTTGGTGAGCATTTCAGAATTATCCTTGCTGATTTCTGAAAGTAATAAACAAAATAAATAAAAAAGCTCCACATTATATTGATAAAAAATATTACCAGTTGACTTCAACATAAGAAAATAAATGTTATCTTTTTGGCCCAATTATGCCTATCATTTTAACTATTTAAATTAGTTTATATATTTAATATAAACCCTCTAATTCCTACTAGTTATCTTTTTACAATCTTTCTGTGTCTCTACCAGGTAATATAGGAAAAGGTAAAGGAATAAAAAATGAAATTCTCAGGCACCAGCAGATGGCGTAATGGTTATGTCACTGGACTCCCATGTAGCCCACGGTTGTTCACGTTTTGGACCTGGCAACTTTAACTCATGATGGGCATGTGTGTGTGCATGCATGCCCAAAATCCCAAGAGGAAAATGGAAGAGAAGGGAATGTGGTTTGGCCATTCCCCCAAAGGGTGATTTCTCACTTTCTGTCTCTTTGTCTTCTGTCTTTCCAGCGAGTAAATGCACCCTATAGAAAAAAATCTCTTTCTCTCAAAATAAAAAGGAAGTTCCTAGTTTTATGATAGTTGCAGTAAAACAATCAGGGAGGTAAGAATCTTCCACTCACAAATTTCTTAATTTCTGTTTCTATGATAATTCTCTTTATTCTGAAATACTGAGAGTTATATATATTCTAAGGATGAAATTTTTCAATTAAAATTTATTTCATTGGACCCTTCCTGCTTATTAAGTCCTTATTCAGACTGAATTATAATATTTTGAGAATTTAACTGAAATTTAAATCTGTTTGACTGGAAAGAGATTTTGAAAGAAAGACAAGATGGAGGAACTAAAGGAAGATGAACTAGTAAGTGCTGATTTAAACTCTCTGGGACAAAGAGGGGTAGTAACTAGTGCAGCCTTCTTTTCCCACAGTTACCCCAGAGGAATTCTACTACTCTTTTGAGAAGCCCTACCTCACTCTCACATCTTGTGAGTGGCCCATTGGTGACAGAGTCTGTACTGATGTAAAGAAACTATAACTGGTAGTTGCCAGCCTATCAAGTTTTCACTAGAATTAACTTTCTGACTGGGAGAACCATGAAATTGGATTCTGAGACTGTATGTTTATCCCCTAGCAGGCTTTTTAACATCCAAGTGAGTTTTAAGACCCTTGTAAGATCAGCAAGAGCTTTATAAATTTCGCATTCTATATCTTATCATTTTCTTCCCTTGCTTTCTAGGTAATTATTCTACTTTTTTTTTTTTCGTTAAAAGTAGTATTACTTCAATTCCTCCACAGGAATCAATGAGAACTCTCATCACCAACTTCACTCTAACACTAACTATCTCCTTATTGAATAACCAAGAAAATGCTAAATCTGTTTCCTGTCATGAAATCCTGACAAAAGAAGGAATGAAGAAGCTTCAAATAGGACTATTCACCCTCTTCGTCATACATACAGCCAATCTTTTCAACACCACATGCATGCCTGTAGTTTAGCCCTCCTTCCTACCACGGTACAGGCCACTATATCCTATGGCTCTGCACTACAAAGTCACTTCCAGGAGTGCCAGGGTTTGGAAAGCATATTTTTTCCTAAATTTCTGAAACTTTTTGTTTTATTTTTTCTCATACTTTTAAAAAATACTTCAGCAATCTAAGCAATAGAAATAAAGAAAGTAAGTTAAATACCTATAAGCTTAAGGGAATCAGGAACCGCATTCCAGGATCCTGTGTTGTTTTTCAACACTTGTTGTAAGATAGCTTTGATTTGAGTCCTCATGCTCTCTCTCCTTGCTGGAGAAAACTTGAATGTCAACTGTAACTGTACACTTGAACCATTGGCATAAGGCCTACAAAGAACAGAAATATCCTTGGGACCAGCAGATGGTGAATGGTGATATCACTGGACTTCCACATAGTCAATAGACCCAGCGGCTTGAAACTTATGCTGGGCACATGCACTTGTGTGTCCAAGATCCTGAGAGGAAAGTGGATTAAAAGAGATTGTGATGTGGCCATCTCCCCTAGGAGGTGATTTCTCATTTCTGTCTCTTTGTCCCTCTCTCTCTCTCTGTCTTCAGTGAGCATATGTGCCATATAACAAAAATCTCTCTTAAAAAAAAAAGAAAAAGAGGGACCAGCAGTTAGCATAATGGCGCTGGTCTCCCACGTAGTTGACCGTGGTTAGAGTCCTGGACCTGGTGGCTTAAACTCACGCCGGGTGCATGTGCGTGCGTGACCAAGATCCCGAGAGGAGAATGGAGGAGAAGGGATTGTGGCGTGACCATCCCCCCGGAGGGTGATTTCTCACTTTCTATCTCTCTGTCTCTGTCTGTCTGGCGAGCGCACGCGCCCTATAGCAAAAACCTCTTCAAAAAAGAAAAGAAAGAAAGAAAGAAAGAAATGTTCTAATGTGCTACTTCTTGATTTTTTTAAAGATGTTTTGTGTTTTGACTGAATTCCAAATGTTTTCATTGTATTTCCTTTACATACATTAAAGAATGATACAAAGATAATTCCTAGTATGTATAAAGTACAAGCGTTACTAAAAATATTTTAACTGGATTAAATGTACTATCTATGGAAGAAGCTGTGGACCACAAACTAGAAATCAGAATATTTTAAACACATATTTTAAACACATAAATACTGGCCAACAAACGATCACCATGAGATTTTTTATTATAATATATAATAAAAATCAGTGTTTTCATACAGAACTTTTTCTAATAATGTTAGAGATATGTGAAAAAATAAAGTCAGGACAGGAAAATTTTCAGAAGACAACATCCAACATCTATTTAAGGGTCAATATTAAACTTCTTCCTATTGTTTCTTATACATGATCAGTCTGCCCCAAAAAATCTATTCAATGAGAAAACTCAGAAAGATAACTCTAAAGCTGTAAGAGAATGTTGATTGTATATTCAGTACCTCTTTTTTAATGATCAGAAAAAAAAGATTAATTCATTCTGGAAGACTTCCAAACCAAAAGTTGTAGTAATCACTACTTAAAAAATAAATGCATGCACAATTCTATTTTCAAATAGTTATGATCAATTGAAGGGTCTTTGAAGGGTTTTATTTGCCACTAGGGAAGTTGGTTTGTTGGTCAGCTGGATTTTGTTTGTTTTGTTTAGGAATTCAAAATTCCCCAGAACAGATGCAGCAATTGCCAAAGTACAAGTGTTCTCTACGGTTATTACTTCTCTCATATACCAACCCTGCTCCCGCTTCCCTTTCTCCCACTACTGCCCCGAAGCACTCTTCAGAGCATATTTAAACAAGTGTTATCTTAAAAGATACACTTTGCTCCATAGCCATGACAAGGATGGTAGTTACTAAAGAGATTAAGAAAAAAAAAAAAGATTATTTTAGGGAAAGTGAGCCAGAGATGGATACGGGTGAGAGAACAGGTGGTTATGTGTAGAAAAAAACTGATTGGACTATATTTTTACATGCAATTGTAGTTATCTTTTCTTACAGACATTGATTAAAACCACCAACAACCTTATAATTCCCCTGCAAATACAGAGAGGAATATAGATTTATATATAACATTTCTTGCCCTAGGCAGAAATTGTCTAAATACAATGATATTGTAGTTTATGGAGAGTGAGCTTGCTTGCTTCCCTCTTTTCTTCCCCTTCCTTCTCTTCTCTTCCTTTTCCCTTCCTTGTCTTCCTTCCTTCCTTCCTTCCTCCCGTCCTTCCTTCCTTCTTTCATTCCTTCCATCTTTCCTTTCTTTTTTCTCTCCCCCAACCACTTCATCTTTATTTCTGTTAATCTGTTTTACATGGTGGTTGTCATCTAAAACAGGGGCTCTGTGATACATTACTTACTTCCCTTCCATAAAATCTTGAATTTGTACTTACGTAAGCTTGATGACCTTAGAGTCAATATATTCTTTATATATACCAGAATTTTGAAATGCATCCAACATCTGTCATAAGACCAAAAAAAAAAAAAAAAGCCATCACATATTATTTAAATAAAATTTATAATGAAAGTAATAAAAGAAATCTCTGATTTACCTTAGTCTCAATATCTTTGCTAAAAATTGTGCTGGCTTGTGAAGCTGCATTTTGACAACTGTCATTGTATGTGACTCCAGAGATATTAAAGTCACCTTGATAGTAGTGAAACTTTCCTGTGAAGTAAAGAAATATTCAAAGAATTTTAAAACAAGTAATGGCTCAAGTTCATCCATATTGCAACCTCAAACTTGACATTCAACCAGCTTTATGAGAAAGGGAAAAAAGAGAGAGAGGAAAATGAAGGGGAATGAATACCCATTTTTCTAAGTATGAAACTATTCAACATTGATTCAATGATCCTCCTTCTTCCCATAATGTGATAATAGATATTGCTATGCTGTTGAGTCCATTTTGTGATTTTAACATTTGTTACTGAATGAGCTAGAGTAAATAGCTAGAATCTATTAACCTTGTGCTACATCTAGAATGATGAACCTGGATATTTACAAATAAGCAGGTTAATCTGTCAAAAGTCCCATATATCATGTCCAAATCCAGAGAAATCATCATGTTCAGATTTCTCTCTCTAGAGATCTACATCTAGATCTCTAGAAATATTTTCTTTCTGGCTATAATGTCACCAGAAAATCATATTGATTCGAAGTGCCATGTTAACATTTATTTTCCCTTGATTACTGTCGTGGACTGAATTGTGCAAACCCCACCCCATTCATATGCTGAAGCTCTAGATACCAATGTGGGTGTACTTAGAAATAGGGCCTCTAAGGAAGGAATTAAGGTTAAATGGAGTTGTAAAAATAAGTCCCTACTCTGATAGGATTGGTGTTTTTATAAGAGACACCAGATCTCTATTTTCTTTTCCCTTAGCATCCACCCTTCTCTCTTCCACACACACAGAGGAAGGGCCATGTGAGAACACAGTGTGAAGGAGGAAGAGAGGCCTCCCCAGAAACAAACTGCTAGCACATTGATCATTGACTCCTCGCTTCCAGAACAGTGAGAAAATAAATGCCTGTAGTGCAAACCAGCCAGTCTATGGTATTTTGTTATGTCAGCCCACGTTAATACAACTATGATAAAAATTGCATTGGTATACACTCTACACCCTAAAATTTGGCTGGTGATTTCAGTTTTACAAACAAAGCAACAGTCTTTGCATAGTAACCTGACTCACATCTCAAAGTTTATGATAAAGTCTTTCATCTTAAGATAGAAATGCATCTTATTACCTCTCTAAGTTGCTGTGTTAGACTACTAGATTGTAAGAGTATCTGTACATCTGAGTCGCCACAGAGCCTCCAAATGACACATCATTTAAATTAGAGATTGCAGTAGCTGTCAACCAGTTTATGTTGTATGATGTACTGACAAAGATTATATTATATTGGTTTCTCAACTAGAATCCTAGAGAAAATCTGTGTTTCAAACTAACTTCAAATAACATTTACAACAGCATTTGAATATTCATTGTTACTACACAAGTAGTCCAGTTCAATTAATTGAACTTTAGAAAATATATATGTAAGCAACTCTAGCCTTGTGTTGGAAATGGTAAGTGGTTTACCATGGAAAGTCACTCATGGGTAATTCTCATTTCAAATACTTCC